TATTATCAATTGAGTAGATGCACTTATCAAAGACAACTTACATTAAAAGGATCTATAAAATATACTCAAAATATTTAAAACAGAGAAGCACAAATTCCACTGAGCATACTACATAATAAAATGAACCACACCTGAAGAAGGCTTCACAGCCAAAACGTGTTTTCTCTCTTCTCTTTTCAGCATGGAATAAACCTATTACTTGGTCCTATAATAAAATGACCATAAACACATGTCAAGAGTCATTAAAAATGATAAATTAAAGAGATTACAAGAATAATTGTGTGTTATGCTGTACATCTCACAATGGAGAGGCACAGCCTGGAGAGGTGAGTGTTACAAGGCGCGAACGGGCGGTCAGATTTCATGTGGGCCTGAGGTTTCATGGTGTCTTGTTCAAAAACCGAGGTGAAGAGAAGGACCACGTAAGCACCCAGCATTAGATGATGAGAAGATGAGCGGGGACATAAGGAGAAATGAGGAGTTGGGGACAGAATAGGACATTGTGATGAAGGGAGTGGTAAGTTAATTAAAGCACATGAAGAGGTGTGAGGTTGCATGGGAGACAGGGAGTGGAGAGCTTACAGTAAATTAGCTGCAGAGGTTGGCTTGTTGATACGGGCAGGTCATCTTAACGTTACAGGAGCCTACTCCACAGAGGACAGCTTGAAACCTGAGCGGACGGAAAATGATGTTGTGCATTCACTGAGTGTTGTGTTTCAGTTTCTTCTTCTTATTTCTCAGAAATGAAGGGGATTTGATGGTTTTGATTTGATTGTTGCGGAACTGCAAACAGCAGTTCCGCAACAATGTCAGAATAACATCCGCAAACAGATGAAGAAATGATGTTGTGTTTGATAGGAGTAATAATACAATCCTTAAAAGTTACACGTTAATGAAGAAAAACCATAAATGTAGCTGTCACCATGAAAGACTTGTCCTAATTGTGTTTGACTGGGACCTTTTCTTTACCAGTGCATTTAAACACACCAGTCATAACACTTCAGTACTTAGGCATTTGCGGTTTGACAATGAATTCAGAAGGCAAAGCATCCCTAATAAATTGATAGTTGTTCCCCTGAGTTCCACAAAGGTATCTTCCACAATTACTACTAACTCCCATTGTTTGCTAGTTTACAACACGTTTTCGATTTGTGTACAGAGATTTTTCTCTGCGTTTATTTAAACACACCTCCAGTTATACATTAACCAATGGTAAGGTTTATTGATTTCATTGCATTATCATTATCATGAGACTCCGTACCTGGAGAAAGGGTATTGACATTTCACATATATTTGAATTTCTTCTCACTTGTTTGCCAAGTGAAGTACAACCAGATAGGAAATCTTTTATCAGGCGAAGCTCGATTGCCCGTTTCCTTTCAACTCATGGGGATAGCTCTTTAGTGGCCATTTTGTCTCAGATAAACTACTGATCAAATTTTTCTTTCACTGCCTTAACAATAGTTTTTTTGTGTCCAATATTACATGAAAATCCTAAGAACAGTATTTTACAACTGTACATCAGTCTTTATACTTACTGTACGTTTTCACCTTTGAATTCTCTCATTTTTTCTTAATACGAAGAAAAACAATCATGCGGTATAAATGGAACTATTATCTAAATGAAGCATTTGAACTTTAAGATGTTCCTTATTGGTTTAAAATAAGTGACTTATCATCCTTACGATGATTTCTCATACACGAAAATGTCAAAGAAAGGTTTTTATCCACCATAGCTATGAGCACTGTCTCCTCCCTATTGACCTCGGGAGAGGGAGGGCGGAAAGCTCACAGAAAGACGAGTTGTTTCATTTGGGAACGGGGAACATCCCAAAAGGGTGAAAAAGGTGAATACAGGTGTAAAATACAGAAAAAAGATGTCTATGTGTCGGTTTCATTCGCACTTTATTTATCAGATTAGCAGAAATCTAACCATATAGCAAAAGATAATTCATTTTACTTCAGGATCAGTAAGGGACGCGACCTCACTGAACGTAAAAAGGGTATGATGCATAACCCACAAACACTTTTCCAGCAAGACAATGTAAAAGCAGATAATCGAAGCGAAAGCATTCGATAAAAGACCAGATACTAAAAAAAAATGTATGCATAAATCGTATTGACTATTCTCCTTCCATATTGATTTGCTGTAAATCCTGATGCTGGTTTAACAAATTTCACAAGTCGCTCAAAACCGCACGACTTCAGCTGGTTAAATAACGCCAGCAAAAAAATAAATAAAAATAATTACTGTTTGATGAAAAAACAGCAACTTTAGACACACAAGTTTAGATTAAGGTTTATGTTTTGTTTACAGAACAGAAACTTCTTTCACTAATAACGGCAGATCATCTGCTTCCGAGTGCCCACAATGCTGTGCGCCGCAGCGCACTTAGTGTTGACGTAAGATTAGCAGGGCTGTGTGTACATGGTCATTTCGATTAGTTGTACTGGTGTTATAAAATGCCTGACGCTCGCAGGCACTAAAAAGAAATATGATTAGGTTTAATTCTAGCCATGTAGCCGAAATCCACACTTGATTGTGTAGTGGTGTGCGCCGTCACATAGATGCAATAAGGCAAATTACTCTCTCATGCTGCATATGAACTTTGATTTGGTTTGAACTCGATAACGCAACGGGCTATTTGCCTTGAACAAAGGTTGTTCTTTTTTTAAAAAAAAAACACACACACCACTAGTTTGTGTCACTCCGTGTAGCCTGCACCGGTCGTTTGCTACTGGAACGGGAGAAAACTGAAGCACTTGAAATTTGAAGTTTGAAGTCCTGTAGGTTGGTGAGTTCACGAGCACGTTGGCTGTCCGCACAGAATCTATGATTTATTTTCGTTTTTCCAATAATCCGGACATGTAATTTCTTAGAAACTAATCACTGGATTTAAGAGTGGCGGTAATGTAACTTTTATTATGATAGTCACGGCAGGGCTGGTGGAACTTAACCAACTTAAATGTGTTGGTTACATGTTCGCTCACAACCTTTTTTCATTTAAAGCGTTTGGTAATGAAAGCCGACGGAGATTTAAAAAAAAAACTTTGTCCTCTTGATTTGTGCTGTCTGAAAGACAAAGATAAGATAAGATTTACTTTTTGGAATAGTTGTCGGGACGTGTAACAATGTCATCCTAATTCTGTGAACTGGGTGTGAATGTGTTCTCTCCAGCAGAAGGCTCAATAGTGCACAAGAGCAGGCATTGACCTCGCTGCACAATGTCCCAACGAGATGTGCTTTTTATTTTAACTTAAAATGTTAAGTCCAGAATGAAAAAGTCAGGCTGTTTATATCTGTTTGGTTCCCATAGGCGTTTCGAGACTCGCACAATGAATTTCCTACTGGAGACGCTGCAAGTGCTATTCCTGTCAATATATTACCTCCTGGAGGCATTTGTGATGCTGTTCATCCCTGTTCGGAGGAAAAATGTGGCCGGAGAGATAGTGCTGATCACGGGCGCTGGCAGTGGCATTGGTAGGCTGATGGCAATAGAGTTTGCGAAACTGGGCGCCGCGCTTGTTCTGTGGGACATCAGTAAAGAAGGGAACAAGGAGACGGCCAGATTAGCCAAAGAGAAAGGAGCCTCCAGAGTACATTCCTACCTGTGTGACTGCAGCAATACCGCTGAAGTCTATAGAGTTGCTGATCAGGTAAGTCACTAACTTCAAGTTTTGTTTTTTGTCCTTCTCCACTCAGAAAACCCGTGAAACTTGTGTTACGTAACCCTTAGAAATCCGCATCCTCTTGTATGAGAAGCATCACTGCCAGGATTCTGGCAAATGAAATTAATAAGTGAAATGCTTATAATGTGCCAATTCGAGCCCTGCCTTACACTGCCGCTGGGGGGCAATTGTAGTGAAAGGCAAAACGTGAGCAAAAAAACAAAAGTCACGCTTTATAATTCCTGAAACGTCCTCATCCTAGATGGTCTAAAATTACTACAGGTCCCTTTTCTTAATGTTTCAGTGCTGTAAAGTCCAGCATGATTTCAGCTGTCAGAATTTCTGTGCAGCATGTCTCTTACATTGTTCAACTGGTTAAACTGAAATGTCAGGTGTCATTGACTAATCAAATCTGAACAAATTTCAAATACACTTTCATATACACTTTTTCAAACATATACACTGACAGGCAGAAACCAACAACCCAAAGGTAAAAACAAATTATTTTCATGGGCCTCTTAAATTGTCTGTTTTCTTCTGAAATGAACAAGGTTTTCATTAAATGTGCAACATGACGACATCTTTGAGGAGGTCAAATGATTTTCTTCTTTTCCAGGCCGATTTCAGTTGACAAAATGCTAAGAACGTACTGTTTGTTTTAAACATTCCATTGCCTCTGCTGTTGTAATTTGGCCAGAAATATGCATAGTGTTTAAAATAGATTTTCTGGAGGCATTCTTAGTAATTACTATGTGTTTAGCTACAGTATGTGCTGCCTTTAGCTTCACGCGACATTGGTTGCCATCGCAGTGTTTTAGCAACTTTCTGTCACGTGTTTGTGTATTGTTACTCATGGAGCCTTTGTGGCCGAAGAGAAGCCATGAAACTGTAGTACAGACCTAAAGTACTGAAAAAGAGGTTTTAAAGACCTTTTCAAAGAAAACTGCAGCTGTAAACCTAAGCAAAACATTTTCCTTCAGTACTGCACCATGAAAGAAATTATGGAAAGCGAAAACCAGTTTTTCCCAAGACAATCCTTGGGAAACTTAATGCATTTATTGTCATAGAACTGGGCTTCTCCTGCTGATTTTATTCCTAACATTGGGAAAGTCATTGCTTTTGATGATAAGTCCTAAAAATGGCTTGTAACAGATTGCTTAACTTAAGGTATAATTTTAACTTCAAAATTGTTTTTAGATTCTAGTTCACTAAGTACATTTTAAAATTATCTTCTTCCATCTAACGTTTTTTCTTCATACAGTTTTATGCATTTAATACATGGGAAAAAATGACATCTTGCATTTCTATTGAAATCACAAGATATTCATGTATAGAAATATCTGAATATTAGTAAGTTTTGAGAGGGAGATGTGTGCTTAATATTTGGTGATTTACTTAAAATCTTTCCCATTTTCAAATATTTTTATTTATTTTTCAGAATTATTCACGCTCAAATGTTTTTTTTAATAATTCATTTAGTCACACACAGTACTTTCTATTTGTGTCATATGCACAAATAAATGGTCTTGGGAGCAGGAAGTGCTTGCTTGCCACTAAACTGAAGAAGTGTACTGCCTTGAAACCCGATCCCACTAGCTCTAGCCTAAGGCTGTTTTGCCAGTTTTTATTTAAATCCCTAACAAACACTAGGACAAAACAGAAGAATGTCAGAACAATGTGTTATATAGAATGTGAAGTTAACAAAAAACTGCTTAACAGCTATGAGCCCTTTTAATACAGTACATTATATTATAATTTGCCAGAAGGAACTGCAAGAACCTGATACCTTAAAGTGAGCAGATATTCCTCGAAACCCTTGAGTATATTTTTTTTCAGCACCATGGACAGATAAGGGGGCAAAGGAAGGTGATCAAGATAGGTAATTTATCTGCGAATTGTAAACAAGTACAAGATCACTCCAAGGTTTATCAAGGAGATAGATGTTACCTGGGCTCTGTGTTTAAAGGTCAAGTGTTTAAGCTGTAGAGAACGTTTATCAATATCAATACCTGCATGTCAAGTTGCCATGTCTGCTCTTTAACTTGTCATGTGTTGTTGGTAAAGGCCTTAGAACACATGGCCACATGGAACTTTCTGAGTGGCACTTGCTGATATATGGCAGGCCAGAATGAAAATGCTATGTCTCAATCCTGCAAAACTGCCATTTAGAATAAAAATGCAAATGTGACAAGGGATAATCATAAAATGGCATTTGCAGTCATTAACATTTAAGATTTGTTTCACAGGGCTCCTATTTGATCTTCAGTGTATTATACTGTAACTTGTGCGAAACGAGTAGGACTGCATTTTGTCTTTCATGTCTAATTTGCTCATCTCTCTCTGACTGTGTTATTTGGAAAGACTCCTTTGCATATCGCGCCCACATATTTGATGGAAACTCTTACACAGAATTCTCAATTCCTCTAGAACAAAGCAGGGTAGGCTGCTTGTGGTTTTGGTGTATCCTGTCACTTTTTCTTCTAGGTTGCGTAATATCTGCGCCTATAATTCCAAAAATTAAAAAGAAAATAAAAATGCCAGTTGAAGCCAATTTAAAATATTTTCAGAAAATGGAAAATAATAGCTTATGCTCTTCCTCAAGACCTCACGCAGCAAAGTTCTTTGTGTTTTATGAAAAACTGGTGGAACTGTTTATGGAACTGTTGTGTTCCTCTTTTTACCCACAGACCAGCAGCTAATCTGAGCAAATGAAAGTAGACCAACGTTAATTCACTTTAATGTTAGTTCCTTGTATAAAGGAAGCAGCACTGACTCACTGTCTGAGATTATAGCTGCACTGGATGGATGCCGTTTTAACTTGTGTTCTAAGTGAATGCTTCTTTTCTGTATTCTCTAGGTCAAAAGAGAAGTTGGTGATGTTAGTATTCTAATAAACAATGCTGGAATTGTGACTGGAAAAAAATTCATTGAGTCACCAGATAACCTTATAGTAAAAACCATGGAAGTGAATACAATGGCTCACTTCTGGGTAAGTTGTCTGCCCCTCCAATATTTCTCCCACCATTCATTAACACCCTCATAACATAATCTGTGATTACAATGTAGGATATATGTAGTATAACAATGTAGTTTTTTAGAAACTTTTCATTATCAGCATAATCTAAAGTATCTTTCACAGAATATTTTGCCACTTGAAAAAAAATTGAAATTTAAATTTCACAAAAGACAGCCTTCACTGTAATTTAAGATTTATTGAAGAAAATAAACAGAATTTTGAATAATTTTCTGATAATCAAGTTTAGTGTATCAGTATACATTTACAAGATTCAGGTTGTTGACTTGTTTATCAAAAATACTTAGTTTATCCCTTTATTTAAAATGAATTAAAATTTTAGGGGTCTCAAATTAAACCTTACAAATGCAGAACAATGTTATTAAAATTGAAATGTCCATTTATATTCGTATGCATTTATATGGGAGAGTGGTCTGACATTAACAGTTGAGCTTTAATTCCTTTCAGGTTGCTAAGATCCTGTTAATGTTTTCTTAATGAGCTACATTTTATAAAGGCTTTATAAATGTAATTTGAAGCCTATTAATTAAAGAGTTCATCCAAATTATGTGTTGTACTCCACTTGGCTTAGTCAGCATCAATCTAAATCACATAATTTCAGAAAATTTTAACATTTTATGGTAAAAATAAAAACATCTGTTTTTGCTTAATGTTCACTGTTGTGCTTAAAAAACAAATGATATAGTTAGATGCTCTTTTCTCCTTTGTTCACTCAAATGAATGCCCCTGCGTGGCTTTTGCAAGTTAGCGAGTTGTTCCTTATTTGTGGAATGACGTGCAACACAAAATGGCGCAGTGGTTAGCTTTGCTGCCTCGCCCTGCGTCGAGTTCCTGGGGTGCTATCTGTGTGGAGTTTGCATGTTCCCCCGCCATGTTCATGTGGGTTTCCTCCAGGTGCTCCAGTTTTCTCTCACAGACCAAAGACATACCGGCAGGGTAAATTGGCTTCTGGAAAAATTGGCCCCGTTTAGAAAATGGAATGGCCGAACAACCCAATATTTTAGAGATCGAACTCTCTTTTCTGTTTTTTACGTCTGTGGTAGAATTTCACAGCTGTAACATTAACTCCAAATGTCTGTTAGTCTTAAATACTTGTTTGGTGTGTCCCCATGATTGTCAAATTGTAGTTCTTGAGAAACATGCCTTTCTAAAATACGTGTAATCTTAATGAAATTGAAAAGAAAGCTAAACTTTGTTTACATGGTTACTGTGTGTCCGTGCTGCTGATTCCTAATGTACAGTGCCTACTGTATTCGTTTTCATATTTTTTAGAAGATCCTTGTTTTTGCAAACAACATCAAATGACATTTGTGGAATAGTACATATACCATACCTCAGTTTCTAAATACAGCAATATTTGCCCTTACTTGCTGTTATGTACTTTTTTGTCTTATTTTCAGACTTATAAAGCATTTCTGCCTGCAATGATTGCAAGCAACCATGGACATCTTGTCAGCATTGCTAGTTCTGCTGGGATGATTGGTGTAAATGGGCTGGCAGGTAAGACTATTTCACTTAAAGGAAGAAAGTGACTATTTTTCTTCTTTCTTCTTGTACTTTGGTTCCTTTTATTGTTTATTCATCAGTGGTACACCTCTGGAAAGGATATCTTAATTTTTACTGTGATATTAAATCCTGAGTTCGTACTCAGTTTTCTAATGTCTCATATTACCTTTGGCAAGTAAGCAGGCTAAACTAGTAGACAAGAAGACAAAAGTACATCCAAATTCTTAAATGGTAGAAGTTCTTTAATAAAAATGTAATACCTTCAACTTGTCTAAGAATTTTAAATGTTCAGCATTACACAGAGTCAAGGTTTCATTAGTCAAGATATCTTCATTAAGAAAGTGTACAAAAGAGAATCCGTCCTAAGTATGCTGTTCATGCTTTCTGCACATATTTGTAAAAGTAGATGAACTATTTAACGCTGCAGTATTAAATATTTTGCATACTTGTTAACATTTTAGGTGTGGGTTTGATTTCAATGTTAAAAGACAAGTGGCTTGAAGGTGAGCAGGTTGGAGGGGTCTGCTTGGTGTTTGTAGCCACAAGCTTTTTTTGTTTCTTTTTTTAAGGGTGGTTATTGTAACTACCTTACTAATTGCAGAAATTAACTGTGCTTATAAAGGCTTGCTGGTGTGAGCCTGGGTTATGCAATTACTGTAACTGAGAGTCCTCAAGTGGCGTTGAGCAGTGCTGGATGTCAGATGGGTGACAGTGCCCACACAGCAGGGAGTTCTAAGGACTTGTAGGTTCCATGTGAACCTGCAGCGATGCCAGCGAGAGATGTTCTGCTCCTTCAGCTAGTGCAGACTCACCTGTAAGGCATAGGTGGAAATCATGCAGTACATGCACAGATCCCTCTTCTCCCTTCCTGGTCTGACCCCGAACTTCTCTCCCTGCCTGTGTGCCTCACGGAGAGCAAGTTGGGGTATGCGAAAAGACAAATTCCTAATGAAAGAAATTGTATATGGCCAATAAAGTGATCTGATCTTTTCTTGTCTGATAGGAGTTATAGCAACAGGCAAAGTCTGTCAGTTGAGACGATTTACAGTTGGCCCTTCCAGATTTAGTAGAGATAAAATCATTATTCTCTTTTTTTCCAAAGACGTTAGTTTTTTTATTAACACCCCTACAAATGCGTATACCCTTAATACTACTGGTTATTTCTATGTAGTAATACACAAAGAGGGAGAAATCTGTTATTTCATTAATGTGTATGGGCTTCTTTGTATAGATTATTGTGCCAGTAAATTTGCTGCTGTTGGCTTTGCTGAGTCTGTGGCTTTGGAGCTGGAGGCAAAAAAGAAGAATGGAATTAAAACCACAATTGTTTGCCCCTATTTCATAAATACTGGAATGTTCGATGGCTGCAGTACCAAGTAAGTCAATTCTCATTCTGCTGACGCTTGCTTGTTTCACGATGTCACACTCCTGTCATGCTGTTCGTGCGTGCTACTTGTCGTGGAATTTTATAAAAGAAAAGTTAGGAGAGGTGTTCTCATTCACTCAGTAAGGTCTTTATTTATATTGCAATATGGGGAAAAAGCCATCACCCGTCTGTGCAGAGAAGTGAAAGCTGATTCAAAAGCAAGCAGGGAGAGCCCTTGTTTTATATCTTTTTTAAGCTGATGCAACACTTCAAGGACAGGCAAAGCAGTCATTTTCCATTCCTTATAGGTATTTGCTTTAAGCAAAGAAGAGCAGTTATTCAAATAGTTTCTCATACTCCCTTTTTCAAGCAGCAACTTGACGAGTTGGGTGCTATCACACTTTGTATCCAGTATCCAGCAGCTTCTGCAGCACAGCTCTGTCCGTAAACAACAGTTTTAGGATAAAACACTTTTTCTCAGTAACTTTCCATTACAGACTCAAGTTACTGTACTCTTTGAAATATGTTTGCTTCTTTGATGCATGAGTTTTGTCAAACCTCAATTCAAACTTAATATTAAAACAATTTTCAAAATGGGTTGTTCCAATATAGAATCTAGCTAGAACCCCATACACAGTTGTAGGTTTGCAAATTGTTTGTGAAGAAGGGGTGCCGAAAGAGAGAACTGTTACAAAAGTGTGCTTTGTTCTGGTAGTAAAGTCGTGCGAGTCTGGTGACGTGGTGCCTGTATGGCCTTATTCCCCCCCGCACCTTCCCTAGGGCCTGCCTGTGAGGCGTCATCGCTACAAAATGTTTGCCCATATCAGCTGATCAATGCTGAGCGCCTTGGAACCCTTGTCGTTTTTTTAGACTGCAAACTAATACATCCTTTATACAGCCCAATACTTTCTGTTAAAATGGCCGCACTGTCCTAGTTCTCACATTTGACTCCTAAACTCACCTGCGTGGAGGTATGCCTTTCATCCCATTGAACACTGGTAGGATTATTCAGAGACTAATGTTTTGCCATTTTGTTTGTACAGTGATATAGGAATGCACATTTTTTTCCCCAGATTAATTAAAGGCATGGGAGCGGTGAAGACCTCCCAAAATACAGCGCTTGACAAATGGAAAATATTCCTCTTTGCGCAGCTGGCTGGGGGGGGCAATGACGGGCCCTTCAGTATGTTTGGCTTCATAATTTGAACCGGTCAAGATGTATGGTTTCAATCCACATTTGAACAAAAAGGAACTGAAAACTGCATTTAATTCATAGAAGTCTACTGCTATGTCCCCAGATTGTAGAACTACAATTGCTTTTCATCTGTATTTCCTGTAGCTCATGTAATCCAGTCTACTAAAGAGTAAATTAAAGTTTACTAAAATGTTTTTTTTTATAAATAGATGGCCCAACTTGCTTCCTATCTTGAATCCCGATTATGCAGCAAGAAAAATTGTGGATGGAATACTGAAAGATCAAGTCTATATTCTATTACCGAGGACCCTGTACCTCTTAATGGGCTTGAAAAAGTAAGTGTTTTTGCTTTTTGTTTCTTAATAAATCCACTGTCTTGTTCATTTGACCTTTTCTTGCAGCTCTTCCTCCACTAGTAATGGATTTGTTTAAAAAAGATCTTCCAAAGGTAGTTCTAGAATTAAAAGAATTGGAACTTGTGTTTTTCAGCAATGTTCATAAAATCAATCCATTTTCAGTTCACTTATCCTGGTGACAGTCATGTTAGTACCTAAATGCATTTAGCTGTCCATTACAAAATGCAAAGGCTTGTGCTTTTTTTTCATATTTTGATCTTGCTAAATTGGTGCCGTTATTGATGTGAAATGTGGGTAATTACAGAATAAAAACAAAATGAGTTGTATATGATCCCCCCAGGAGTTCAGTTGACATGGAGGCTTTTCATGTTGCTTTAAAGTAGGCTTGATCTAAGATTAAATCAGTTTGAAATCTTAAAGCTGACCATTTGCGTTTAATTAACTTAGGGGGTTTAGGAATGATCAAAGGAGGAATAAGTAGAAGAAATTAAAAGCTTTACTCTTTAGATCAGTGGATACTATATAGTTCTGATTATGCATTTATAAGATAACTTCCTGCTGTTTTCAGGTGTTACTTTTTGGAAACTAAAATGTATTACATTTGTTAATTTTATTCGATTATTAATTGATCTACATTTATTGTAAAATCTACAGGTATGTTTACTCGTCTGCTTCACTGGTTTTTTGACTGTGACCCTTAAGATTGTTGGCACCCTGTTTTGTGTGCCAAATTCCATCTAGAGAATTAATTCCAGTTTTTTTAATTAAAGGTTTTTTGTTGTAATTCAGTAAAACATCTAGTTTGCTTGTGCTGATTCTCAATCTACTTATCAGACATGGTTCTGGCCACACCTCTCTGCGTGGGGCTGGTTTCCAGCATGCCCAGCTCTTCTATATAAAGCCTAATTTACTCTGCAAATTATATAATCCAATACCTATTGATATTCTGAACTATTGTCTGCTTTTGTAATTCAATAAGCAACATGTGTTGAAGACCACATCTGCTGAGTAGATCAGTGTGCGTTTGTGCAGAACAGCAACATTGGATGTTGTTATGGACACAATTTAGAAGTTTGACTCCAACACCAGGTTTTACCTTTCTTAATATGTAACAAATACTTTAGACCACCTTTCTCTTTGTTAATTTGGATTTAATCTGTTTACCTGTGTAAAACGGAGCTGCTTATTCAGGCAACTAATCTTACATTTTCATCATCTTTTTTTTTGGGGGGTGGGTTGTCCCTGCAGTGCTAAAAGTTTTGCATTTCCATTACAGTTAAAACATAGTGTGTTACATGATGTTCCTGTATTATCCATAAGACAAGGTTATCTGTACATTGACCTACAACAGTCTTATTAAACTTTTCAGCAATATCTCCAACTGCCCTGTAAAAGTTGTATGGGCATACCCGCCTTAAGACACTATGGTCATTTTTTTTAATTCGGGAATTATATACTCGTCTCCCCTTTTATAGCTGTAAAAACAAAGTGAGTTCATTTAACAAGCAAGAGGACAATTATAATACAGTTTATACTATTAACTCATCTTGCTCGTACGCATATGATCAATGACCAAGATTCAATAAAACAAAGGAAACCTCATATAAAGTTTCTTAATTATCTCTAACTAAGTTAGATGACAATGACTACTGAATGTGCGTTACAGTATCATTATTTTAAATAGGAGTTTTTTTAAAACACTATACAACTGCATGTTTATCATTAGGGGATCATCAGGAATAAGAAGGCATTATCTGCATTACCACTTACAGTAACCTCTAGTCAATTCTGTTCTTCTCATAGCTGCATTCACTGGAAGTTTGGAGTTCTCCTGGGAAGATATGTTGGTGTTTTTGAAAGCCCAAATCATTGTGAAAGTCATACCAAGCATCATTGAGCTCTGTGCTTAGCAAGGGAATGAGGTTGAACTGCAGTTGAAGTTTAACAGCATATGTGCATTATTGCCACCAATAGACTAAATCTGTAGTTTACAGGGTGAAATACATTATTGGCTGACACGCACTTAAAACTTTAATGATTACTGCAACTACTACTGTTGCCAAAGCTTTTTGTAAAGGGGAAGATATGCTACTTTTCTGAATGTTTCTTCTTCTCCAGGCTGCTTTTTGCACATCTTTGTGTAATTTATAATATATATATATACTGCATGGATTCAGCCTCTGATGGTTTAAAATGTATACAATTCACTGAGCAATTATGCTAATGTGCACTTGATGTAACTCACACCATCATTTTCATGTATAGATATATACATTAGTAGTCTGGATATATAATGAATATTTTGTATGAAATATGTTCCTGGAAATGATATTGTACATTTTGTTATTGTACAACATTAAATTATTAGTTCACATTGGCAAAATATTCACATTTACTGTGTGTGTTCAGTTGATGCTGGGTAATGATTGGCTCATGACATATTATAGGTAACATGCTGTCTAAGAAGCTAATGTGCTTTTATAAAAAACAAAAGCTGGTAGATATTAGAAAGGTACAGTAACTTAATTAACCCCAGCTTGGACTTGATATTTCAGTATGCAAATCCTGTCCATGGCTTTTGCAGGAAAGCTGGTATGCTTTTCTCATAATATGGTTTGCTAACTATTTAGAGCTTTCTGAGTTCTACTGTATATGGACAGGTAAACCTTTTGTGGGTATGTGCAATCTTAATTATGCTAGAATAGATTAATAATTTATTTTGAAAGCTCAAAATTCTGAGGAAAATGGATACATTTTTTAAAATGGGAATCATCTTTTTCTTTTTTCATATTACATCTAAATACACAATCACCATACTAGTCTCGACAAGTGCCTGGAAATGCAGTTTATGTGAGTCCACGGAGCTTGTCATAAGCAGAGGAGGTCCTTCAGTTTCCCAGATGTGGGCTAGTTTTCAAGAGCAATGTCAGAAATTTCAAATTAAATGCAACGTTACAAGCGTAGGAGGTGCTTTTACACATTACCTGTGAATGAGCCAGATGTAAATGTTCTTTTTCATGAAATAAATAACATCAGAAATCACTTTACAATATATAAAATATTTAAAATAAAGCACTTTGCTTCAAAAGAACATCTTTAACAGATTTTAGTAAATCTTTTTTGGATTGACTTTCAGGAACTTTGTATCTGGCTTCATATGTATTTATTCATGTAAGAGCATTTCCTAATGTGCTATTGGATGATTTTGATTCTATTTTCTTTTGACATTTTCTGATAAACTTTCAGGCATAAAATCCCAGAATTTATATATCAGATCTAAATAATAGTGACATGTTGGTTGTGCATGGGATTAAAAACATAAGAGTGTGTAATTTTGAAGACTCCACTGTCCTGTAAAAGCAGGAGACAGACTTCTAAGAAAATTCAGTGTTAAAATGAAATGATATTCAGGAGGTCTAAATTTCACTGGTCTGTAAAGATTTCAGGACGACGTGTTAAGGTCACTTTTAGTCTCCTGTTAATCAGCCTTATATTTGCCTTTGATTTACATTACATTAATCTTTACACAATCTGAATCCTGCAAATAGGTTTTTTTTTATTCCCCAATTTCAAATCCCCAGTTGTTAATCGGCTTGACACAGTTGTACATCTCTCATATCTCAGCACAGGAGGAAGAAGAGCTGTGTGTGCTATCTTTTGAAACATGCAAGGTCACAGTCATGTGCGTCTTATCCACACTGTGAGTCACGCAGTGTCCACAGCTGAGTTAAGCCAAGATTGGAGCACTAATGCACATTTTAGCACATTTGCATTCATGTTTTTATATATATAAAGAAAGTTTGTTAGTACTGGTTGCTTTATAAGCAGTGATCTGCTAATGAATTCAGTAGAGATGTGAAGGAGTAAACGTATAAAATATGCAGACCTGGGGGAAACTCAGTGACTCCTATACTCCCCTCAGCTGTAGTTGTGCCTCTTTACAGATGACAAGCTTTTGTCAGGAGCTGGGCTCTATTTCTGTCTGTAGGCTGGCAATCAGATATGGTTTCAAATCCTTTGAGCACATCGGCTCAGTCACGCATCCAGGAAACTGTTTCCCAAACACAGAATAATCCAACTTAAACCTCCGCTTCACTTACAGTAGACTGCTTTAGATCCCACGTTCAAGCTCTTCTCTACCTGAACATGTCTCATTATCAAGAAGAGACTGAAGAAGATATTATTGGGATATGTTTACAGTAACATTAACTTCCCCGTTTGTAGGAAAAAAAGGAACTGTTTTGGTTAATCTGTTTTCTAATTTTATATTTCTTGCTACTTTCTGTTTTGTAAATTAAAAATGTATTAGTTTTAGGACCTCTGGCCTAGCTAAATGTCATTCGTTGTCTTTCAGTAAAGGCTTACAGCTGAGAAAATCAGTTACTTAAATGAGAGGTTTTAAGGTTTTCTAGTCTGATGGTTTGTTCACTTCTGCCTTGTCCACTATTGCTTTACTAATTACACTTATTTAAAGGCCAAAAATACAAATATGTATCATGCTTGTTTACATAATCCAATTAGCATCTGTACTTATTCAAATTGTAAGGCACTCCAAGGGCAGATGTTCTAACCTACTTCCAGCAGGGATCGTGCTGTGTTGACATTAATACAGACGCTACCATCACAGCTGAAGAAAATGGAACCAAACCGGTTGTTTTCTCACTTGCAGAATATATACTTAAGATAGCAGGTGAAAATCTACTACTTCTGGTGTATAATTTAACAAATGGAAAAAGAGTGAAAGGTTATGTTAAATATATGGAAATAACTCTAATATGTTTGTATGTTGCAGTTTCGTTACAATGCCTTTGTGTAAATAGGTAGGGGCACACTAGATTATTTTATTCATTTGTGCAGTTAGGTATATGCATGTTATTTCAAAAATAATTATTTAAAAATTAGATGGCACAGCGGCGTGCTGCAGCTTTTGCGTCCAGGATTGGATCCCAAACTTGGGGGACGTCTGTATGAAGTATGCATCCCAATCTTTTTTCCAGGTACTCCTGTTTACTGCCACCTTCCATGGACATGCTGCGTACATTATGTGGTGTCTCTCTAGTCTAAACTTTCCTTTGCGCTCATGTGTGTGCCCAGTGTATTGTCTAATAGCCTTGTGACCCATGCTCCCAGGAAAGACTATGGGTTGCTACTGTCCTTAACAGGACTACATGGCTGTGAGATGTGTAAAGCTTGTGAAGCAATTAAGTAGATTAAAATACATTGTGTTAATGGAGAATATTTAAATATTTATAAAGAGCAGCACTGTTATTTTAAATACTTTAAATGCAAAGGAAACTTCAGAAATGTATAATAGAAGAGACTTTGTTAAAAGTACAGTACTTTATTCTGAGTCACGTTGACATTTTCCACATGACAAAACGTGTAGGATTAAACATTGTATTATCTGAAGGGGTACTGATGACATGATAGGACTTCTTAAGAAATTATTTTTTTACAATTAATTTACAAGTGGCACTGACAAAAGCATTGTACTCAATGTATTGCATTTACTAATTACTCCTAAGAACAGTAAATGAGAACATGTTTAGTCTAAGAAAAAATGCACATTTCAGGTAAATTCATTATGAGCTGCAGACAAATAGTGCTGTATTTAAATTATTTATTTTGTTAATTAGCCTTCATATAGAACATTTATTGACCGAACTGTTAATATCAAAACGTGCAGCTTGATAAATGAAGAAAGATGATACTTGGTTTAGATTGTTCCCTATAGCAATATCAAATGAGCACATTATTTATATTGGTTTTCTTTTAAATAAGAATATAACAATGTTATACAGATCTTGTTAACAATACAACTTGTATTGCAGGTGCAATTTTTTTATATATACAGTCACTGGGTACTGAAATGTTGGTACCAATGTTTGAGAATTTACGCGAGTCTCAAACTGAGGTTGCGATTTTTGTTTCCATTTTCAATATTCTTCTGGATTAACTGCCTGAGAAATGATGTGACAGCTCCATGTTGATAGCTTTCATGCCAGAGAATACTTTTCTTTTAGGATATTTACATAAGATGATTATAAATGCATTTAGGAACCTGAATAAGTAACTCGTACTGCAAAAGAGCACCACACAGTAAATGACGTCGGTGGCATTTCCTTCTGTTTCTTTCTCTACTCAGCATGTTAAGATGCCGAGTTATTATAAACACTGTTGACTCCTATGTAACCAGCTATCTGGGTCAGGTCCTATCCCCTCATTTAACTTAACGTCCATTGTTTGCCCAGCGGGCATGGACTGGGTGGGATCCAGTAGTGTTATCAGACTGACGTTTTTTAAATGAGCTTTCTTTGTAAGTTAAATGTCTCCACCTGAAAATTACATCTGTGTATTGCAGTAACCTTCTGTTATTTGTAACTAATAAATATTGTGTTTATTCTTATTTGGTTTTGTCTTGTATATACAGTACACTTGAAATGCAATTCTGTTTTCAAATCATGTGATATCCGCTGGTTAAATGCAAAACTGTCTAAAAGTTCATCCTTACATGAAACTGTATTAAAACATCTTGATCGTTTATGTGCTATTGAAAAATAGGTTTAATTGAAAATAAGTCAAAATAAAGTACAGCACATTTACAACAAATGCTTTTTAAATACCCATTATATCCATGATGCATATTGTGAAGTGCTGCAGACCACAAATGTTTTTTTTTTTACCTCACAATCCATTAGGTCTGTTTTCATTAGAAACACTTATGTTTGAGGTAATTACAAATCAGGTGTGAGAACATAAATGGGAATAAAGTGTGTGTGTGTTTCAGACTGAGGTAGCAAGCACAGCTTTACTACAAAAACTGAAGATTTTTTTTTTAGACGTCTCCAGCATTTGAACTGGAAATTAATTCCATCACTGCTTGTAGCCTGCTTACTGAGGTGGACTGCATCATTATTTAGGAATCTGCTTCTGATTAAACACTGCTTTTTGGCCAAATTGATCCTTTTATACTTTAGATTCAAACAGAATAATGTTATGTGAAATACAAACCTCTGTGCACATTAGCCAGATAGACAGAGTTTGAAGGACCTGATCAATAAGCCCTCCCTACCACATTTGACATTTGTTTTCATGTGGGTTAGCATTGCTTCACCAATAAACGATGTAGTCCCTCTGTTCTATTTGGGATACGGCACATGTTAGTCATTAATTAAAATAATGGACTTGGTGCCACTTGCACCAGTGTGATCAAAAGCCTAACTTGTAAGGTTGTAACAGTATTGTGCCTTTCCATGAAGGTATTTTGGCTAGTTCAGAACAGAGGGCTGGTTTGAAAGAAGACCTTGTCCTGGCATGTTGACCACTTTCGTAGAAAGACTGATAAGGATGGAATTTATTATCCTTACTACCTACACAGTTTCATGTTTTTCAAAACAAACTGATTACAGGAAGGAGTGATTATGAGAATTTCTAAATTACATTTACATGTTGTCGTGGAATTTTATCAAATAAGAGCCGGGAGAGGTGTTCTCATTCACTCAGTAAGGTCTTTATTCATATTGCAATATGGGAAAAAGCCATCACCCGTCTGTGCAGAGAAGTGAAAGCTGATCCAAAAGCAAGCAGGGAGAGCCCTTGTTTTATATCTTTTTTTTAAGCTGATGCAACACTTCAAGGACAGGCAAAGCGGTAATTTTCAATTTCTTATAGGTTTTTGCTTTAAGCAAAGAAGAGCAGTTATTCAAATAGTTTCTCATACTCCCTCCTTCAAGCAGCAGAGAGAAACATTATTAAAACATCCCGTGCCCTTGACGAGTTGGGTGCTCTCACACTTTGTTCTAAGTATCCAGCTGCTTCTGCAGCACAGCTCTGTCCAACCTTGGGTGGTGCAAATGTGAAAATGTAGTTGAAATATAGTATTAAATATTAAATAAATAGTTAAGTACATCGTTAGTGCCCATTTCCTCTGTCTTTTCTCACCACAACTACATTTTCACTTCCACAAACCACTGTTATTCTTGTAATTCTGTATCTTGTCAATAGTTTGTTTAGTGATTTTTTTTCATTTTCTTTTATTGTAGAAAATAGCATTAAAAACCATAATAGCATTCAGCAGTTAGATGTCATCAGATGACTCTCATGATGTAGGTCAGGAGCGGTGTCTCCAGTGTGGTATAGAATGAACTAACTAATGAATTGTATAAGTTGCAGTAGGACCACATATTTGACGGAGAATTGGTAAATATACCAAGCAAATAGTTGCAGGGCTCTGTGAAAATGCTGTAAACCCATAAGAGAAAGGATAGCATAAATTTATATTCATTTCACAGGAAAGAAAAGAAAAACTCTGCAAGACTATCTGTGCTGGAGATTTTTATGTGAAAATATGGTATGCAATAAGAAATAATTTAATAGCCTTCGTGGATAATAAAGTTCAGGAGCATAAAATAACTGAAGCAGTTTTATTATGTTTGTTGAGTTATACCAAACAATGAATTTTTCTTTTTTAATACCAACTCAAGAAACGGTAATTATAATAGATTTGGGGGTCACCGTGATAATAAAATGA